ACCTGTGAAAGATACATAAGTGAACAAGCACACATATATCAAGACTGGTCGTAAATAGCTATAAAATTCTCGCGTTGCGCAATAAAGTACTGAGCGTGGCAATAATTTTTACCAGTTATTTGTTTGTCATCTATGACGAATAACGACTTTTAAAGCGATGATAAAACCAAACAGACAGACGGACATTGTTGTTATCAGTCTCGCCGCCTATTTCCCTCGCACCCGCGTGGAACTTGTCACACATACACGGATTAAATATCCATAAAAGTTATTTATTTGAAATAAGTTGCGCAATGATACATAGAACAATCTACCTAGAAACGATAGTCGCGATGACACGCAATGAGAGAAATTGGATTGAAACTGGACATTTTCGGTTCAACGCAGAAATTGCCTTCGAATTTGAGTAAGAAGCACAGTCACTACGAACAGATACAGCCGAATTGACCGCGGAACGAGGTAAGATTTTTATAATACAGTGTTACTGGTCTCACATCGCAAAAAATGTTATAAATATAATTTATATATGTGTGTTAGTTGTAATGTCGGTGATGTCCAGTGAGTGGGTGACTTGGTATCGTTCGATATCTGCGCTGTTGACAGTCAATGATGATTCACTGCAACACGAGGACGCGGAAGATGGCGCAATGCTTGATGAAATAACATAGTTTTATTTATATTGGCAACAAACACACTTGTAAAATACAATACAATTCGGTTCGGTAAAACAGGATAAACAGTTTAAATTGAAAATGAAAACCAAAAAGGACACAAAAACATGTGGAATGAATTTGTTGATTGTCACCCGTGATCGAAACATAGATTTTAAGTTCTGAAAATTGCGGAACAGGAGATGCGGATGTAGTGTCACGGCAACAACAGATTATTAAGAAGTATATTTTGATGGGCTGGATGAGAGGTGTTTGGTTACTAATGAACAAAACAGTCACTGATAAAGTGGTTGGGTAACAGAACATGTGCACTGTCAGAGAGGATGTCCTAATCAGACGCTGCACTGTTTTATCGAATATTGTTTCTGTTGTCAATATATACTTAACGTGGCAGTAAAAGAAAGTATGAAGGCTGCTTAAATGGACCGTTCAAAGGCCGCCATCAACAACTAACATTACGTAGCATGTTGCGGGGATTTCTTGCCCGGCCATAAACCAGAATTGGTATCATAAACCACATAAATCACAAAGCACGAAGTTTTTACAACATATCCCCTATAAAACAGCCTCGGTTTAAAGCTCCCATGTTACGTCGCTTTTACAATCGTAGTAATTCGCGATGAAGACGCACCTAATGTGCGCTAGAAAAAAAGACACATCGCACGGACAGCTTAAACACAAATCTGGTAAGAGAAGACAACATGGCCGACCCACTTACCGCAATAGTTGTTGCTTCGCATCCACGGGTATATAATCGTCGGTGTTTTCCCGCTGTCACTGTCGGAATCTTTGTCTTTCTTCGCCTCCATCGCATCAACGACGACATCTTTATTTCTCGTTGAGTTACAGCTTAAATCGTAATGGGGTAAGTTTGCGTTATGCGCTAACTGACGATTATGGTAGTTGTTATTGTTGGTCTCTGTTACGTACCCAACAGCGGCGTAGTTGCTCGCTGCACTACCCGCAGTAGAACGCTGTTCGCTGTAGTTGTATTTATCGCTGTAACCGGCATAGCCACGGTTCTCGGGGACCGAGTAGCTCTGTAGTTGGCGTATGGGATCATAATTCGCGCTGTACAGTCCTACTTGGGAAGACGGGTACTCAGACTGTGTCGTCTGATACGAATTGAGGCTTGGAAAATACGAACTCATTACTAGGTACGCGGACGGGGAGTTGGGGGATTGATTTGTGGCTCGCTGCTCCGCTAAGTGGCCGATATGCTGTGTCCAGACATTACCCACAATTTATCAATTTTGACATCCGAGTGAGACCACGTGACGCCGCTAACCAATCAGGGTGTGCCCGTTGAGCAATCACAAATAGGAATCCTGGAGGTGCACTCGTGGATTGCTGCGATACCAAAATTTCAGATAAAATGTTTTGGCATATGGGTTTGATGTGTTTATTTAGCTTTTGGCAGTTTTTTATCGATCATCGCGCCTACTTCCAACACGTTAATATACACCGTGCAAATTCCAGCTCCTCGAAAGCAATTCGAAATAATAATAATAATAAAAAAACTTTCCGGGTCTCATCTCGTCCGAGAGTTGTCAATCACACACATATACATCCCAAGATGCATTTCGTCTCTCACATGTTTAATACTTGCTTACTTAGTTTTCGAATCATGCGGTCACACTGGTTGATTTTTATGTCTGCTACCCCCACCTGGATCACAAACACTTACGTCATAATTACGTCATTGTCAACTAAATAGCAATAAAAAAAAGTTTATGTAAAATGAAGGATTTATAGGGGGACTTCGATGTAATCGCATCGAACCATTTGCTAATGATATCCAAAAAGATTCATTTGAATAACAATATTTGTAAACGTGCGTGAATGCTGTCCTTCTGAACCCACCCCGACTAGGACTGAAAAGCACTGAAGTAGAAAGTTTTTTTTTCTTTCTTTTTGTTGAAAAGCGCGTTTCTGAATGTGAACAAAAAATCGATTTGACTATTGTTGCTTTTTATCGGTTCCTTAGATCTCTCAACCGTGTCCCTAAAAAGTCGGGTGTTTCTAAATTCTTCACCCGAGTCTTTTTAATAAATTGCTCGCAACATTGTGCTAAAATTCTCGCGGCGCAAGACTTCAAAGAAAATACTACAAAATCGAAATATTTGAAAATGTGTAAATTTCTATTATTTTTTTTATCCGCATTTTGCCAATACATCAAGAGCTTTCCCGCAGTTTAAATTTTGTTGGAGCGATTCAGAATAGTTTGTTTTCTGAACGACTGACATTTGTGTTGTACAAGCAGACTACAGCTGCCGCCAGAGCAGTAAATCCTTCAAGCATTTTGGCAGACCACAAAAAGACTAAAAATACGACCGCTTTTATGGATGTTGTTGAAAATGTGAGGATTATAAATCTTTCACGAACCCCGAAGATACCTAAATCTACCTCAAAGTACGAAGCGCTCGAATGTTTTTTTTTTCTAACGCTTGAAATTTCGCGCGCCAAAATTTTAAGAGATCTATAAAAAAAAAACAGACGAGGATGCGTTATTTGCGAAATCATCACTATAAATGACATGGTAATAAAATAGGAAGTTTTATAGTCATAAAAGTCGTAAAAATGATTATTTACTATTGTTTGCCGGACTGTATAGTTGAGCTGATATTTATGGTACAACGCAGGGTACTGCGCGGGAGTTATCCGGCATCCAGCGGCCCGAACGAACATATCCGACAAGGACTGACTTGTTGAGCGCGCAGAATGCGGGAAAACGGACATGCTATTTGGGGTCGCCATACTGGATTGGCAACGCGTGACCTTCAGTGTGTCTTAGTTTTGAAAGCTGTCGGCAACTTGAAGGAATTAACGGCTAGATAGCCACTAGGGTAAGTACGGCACATCTGCAAAATACTTCCCATGGTGTTTTTGCACGTATCTATAACCGCATACTCTGAATAGACACATTTTACAAGAAATCTTCAAAAAAATTGTCCTAAACCGACAATTAATGACCTAAACTGGATCGAAAACATATATGAATAAAATCCCGATCAAAAATATTCAGAAATATTAAACAAAATTCTACAAAACGCGAATATTATGAAAGTCAGAAGTCAGAAACTTGGCATACGACAGAAATCAATTGACAAGACAAGACAGCTGGGGTTAATCAGTACATTTTGGAGCGTTTAAAAACGACAGATAAAATATACAAAACGACGGATTATCGATAAATTGTAGCGAAAATGTGCTATTAATTCAAAGACAAAGAAACGTAAACGAAAACAACGCATACCAACGTGGTGTGGTAGACCCTGAAGCCGCGCCACTGTCCGCCTACAAGTTTATGTAAAAAAAAAAGATCAGTGCCGATTTCTGTCTCGCGTACTTGTACTCTTTTTTTTTTTGAGAAAGTCTCTTAGCAATTCTTCCCATTCTTTGAAGAACGAGTCTAACAGAAGGTAGTTTGTACACTCGGATACTAGTCGATACTTAGCTCTCGCGTCGATATGCTGTTGTTGTTGCATCGGTGTGCCATAAAAACACACGTATCAGTAAATTTTAACGATCTCCCCGTTAACCTCGTCATTTTTAATGGTGGGGTCTCATTCATTTTCTAAGAGTTGAAGGCAAACTTCCCAGCAAAGTAACAAAACATAAAACCGTGAAAGAAGGAAGTTAACATTCTTGACGAGAAATAAATCTTTTTAAAGACTCTCGCGTCCTTTTAAATTGCGCAATTCTACGCAATAGTCACATTCAGTATCGTCTTGGCAGACTATGCGTACATCTCTAACGGATTTATAACAATATGTTTGTGGGTTCATCGTTTCTATAGTGTACGGCAGACCAGCGCAGTATAGGTATGTATAGGTACGCTTGCGATCGGCACGCGAGTGAGTATTGCGCGCAGACGACAACTTGTTATCGTACCGATATCTCGAACTACCAACAAATTTACGAATACTTGATAAAATAACGAGTACGCTCCCATCACCAATTGCCATTTGATTATGTTATGTTTCCGTGGAAACAAAAAAATGCTTCCTTTTCAGGTCATGGGTTTTGTGGTACGAACGTGGTAGATGTGACTGAGTTGCCATCTAGGCGCTGAGAGTAAGATAACAATGTATTCGTTGCTAGGGAAATACCAGAATACGAAAAACTGAATTTCTTTGTAATTGGAGATATTCTATTTTTTAATATCAACTAAAATAATTTTGAATTTGTGTCTACAACTGCTCCGATTCGTTTGACGGAGAAGTCGCTGCTGTGTCCCTTCGGCGTGTTCGACGCCATAACACACCCCGACAGGCAGGTCGTCTTCTTCGAAGTCCACGCCCGAGAGGCTGTTTATTCTTGCGCGATTTATAATCCTTCGCAGATTGAAACTTTTTAGGAAGAATAACCCCTCCGATCCCTCTAAATGGGGGTAACAAATACATCAAATCTTCAGTGTTGGGTCATGCGTTCTACTGTCAGTCTTCCACACTATTTAACAGGCATTCGAATAATAAGATCTTCATTTGTATTATTTTGAAGGATATTTGATTTTGAAATCATAACAGACAAAATATAAAAACGAATGTATAAATATCACCACCTCCAAGGCCCAACAAGAAGTCTGGTCCTTAGCGCATTTTGTTCACGACCATTCAAGTTGTTTCAAACGTGCACTGAATCCTGACACTGTTATCGACGTGAACTACATTCAAAGCATTTAGCGTACAGGGACGAATGACGACGGGCGACTCGTGATTTCTAACTGAAACTATGTTATATGTAAAACAAAACTTACCGTCTTTAATAACGTTTTATTTTCTGTTCAAGTGTAAAACATAACAATGTTAGGTTTTAACGTAATGCAATCATAGTACCTGATACACAGGATTGTTCATGAAATACAGTTATGAAATATTAACTCCTGTCTGAATAAAATCATCTATATTTATATGAACGCTTTAAATAAATAAATAAATAAATAAATAAATAAATAAATAAATAAATAAATAAATAAATAAATAAATAAATAAATAAATAAATAAATAAATAAATAAATAAATAAATAAATAAATAAATAAATAAATAAATAAATTATAGTTCTAGAAAGTGAAAAAAATGTCCTTCGTATGGATTTTTTCTGAGCAATTGAAAACATTCAATGTGATCGCGGCAACCATATCTTTGTAGTTCCAGTCAAACTGCGAGAACACGAAATTCATTATTATAGTGACGAAGACTACACAGAGGTATAGAAGAGTTTATCAGTTCAATCACGGAGGAATTGCGTAATATCTACTATCGTATTTGACAAAGCAATCTGAAGCAAACTGCCCATATTTGTAGAAATTTAAACCAGTATTCATAAAGCAAATTTGGTAAATCCGAGTCGGGAAATGCTGCTAGTGAATGAGTACAAAGTCAAACATATTTCGATAACATGTCCCGGCAGACTATATTTTCGTTATTTGGTTTGTATTTTATTCTCTTCATATTATATAACATCATGTTCCGACACATTCAAAATGTACTGCCTATTCTGTATGCAATAGCATACTTCTAAAACGGATTCGGATCATGGCCCGGGGTAATGTCTTGAAAAGTGAACATCAAATCCAAATTTGTACATATGACTGATATACGTTGGGCATCCAACTCGTTCAAAGTAGACGGTGAACATGCGTGTTCTAAGATGCCCTCAAAACAAGGAGAATGCACAGTTTATTATATTTTCTCTGCAGAAATTTGACGCGCTCAAGTAAGGCACACTCGTTTTTAGTATTTGACAGAGACGGTATAAATCTGCTCTATTTGCAACATTTTCGGAAATTTTCTTCATGAGTTCAAGTCCCAAATTAGACCCCTTTTCGAAAAATCAGAATGCGGCCATTGTAAAACGGACGCAACCCCGGAAAAGCGTCGTCCGAATCAGAGGACGATTGAAACATTCCTTCTTGAAAACGAATGTGTGTATTTGTAGTGTTCTATTCGCCAGAATCTCAACAAAGCGTGCGTTTTGCAAACACCCACAATGTACGAAAAACGCTCTATACATCGCGGCTAGTACATATGCAAAATCAGGTTACCATTCAAGCCTTAACAAAATAACTACAAACGACCACCTATTACATCATGCATCGGTGATAATAGGTCAAGTTATACTGAAACAAACATTAAATAACACAACATGTATTTGGTTCACCTTCTTAGCTAAACAATATAA